CTTAGGACTTACTAACCATTTTTGGATTTATCAATCTCTTGTCTTAAGACTAACTAACTATACATGGCTAATCTATCCACGAGGTAAACCTAACAGAGTAGTCCATATCCCACATATGTTTTTACCTGCATGTTCGGTAATTTCTTTCTAACTAGTACCTGTTGTGCTGCTGTCACTGAGTTCGTATCTCAAGCCAACCTTTGGGTGCTGCCATAACCTGATCCGTATCTCAAGCCACAACCTTCCTAATTAGTCGCTCATTACGTACTTCTTGCCCTTGTAAGGTTCCCAACAACCCCAGTACCCGCATTTGAAACCGTTTCCTTACCCGGATTCTCTATCGGTCCCTCCTTTACTTCCAGCTAGCAACCCGGATGGGTCGGTTTGCCCAGGCTTTAGGTGCCTAAAGGACGCCCTCCCCTTGGTCCATACTTTCGGAGCGTATGCCCTTTTTCTCCGGCGTGACAACCTGGCGGTTCGGCTAGTATATTCTCCGGCATAAAACCTGGTCGCTTAGTTCTCCGATCTCGGGCCCCGGTTCGAATTCAGCCCTCCTGTGATACCGTTGAAGATCATTGCTACATCCCAACTCGGGACTTGCCAAACAGGTTTTTGGTTATTCCGGTTCCTCGGATTTATTGTGCCAAAGCTCCTATTACTAGATGGTGTAACAAAGATTACAGATTAAATTCAACCAATAATCGATAACCGTTAACCGTACGCAGATCTATTTTTTAAAATCGTCGTCCGTGGGATTCGAACTCTAGACCTGCTGCTTGGGAGGGTGACAACTAACCAACTACACTAAGTTGCTACACCTTTTATAAAATTTTTTCTTAAACCTGGCACGGGTTATAATAGTATACTTTTCTTTTTTTTTTCGTTTCATTGTACTGCCTCTTGATAGAGATGGTTCCTCTCTTTTGTTGGCTCTTGAGCTTTTCTCTTTGTTTTTCTTTTTTTTACATTTCATTGTACCCTCTTTTTTTTTTTCCTTTAAAAATTTCCCTTTATTCTATTTGTTTGTTTTTAGTTATTTTTTCGTTTTGTTTTCTTGGTACTATTGGTGGTTTTGTATTAGATATAAGATCATCACTTTCTTTTGCTCTTGGTAAAAAAAGAGAATATGAAGGAAAAAGCTTTAACAAGCTAACAAAGTTTATCTAACTTGTATACAGATTGATGTAACAAGTTGCATGTGAGCATATTTTATCACAGCCGGGTGATATCAGACTTGCAATCATGGGACTCCCTATTATAGTTATGAATGATTTGTATTGTTCGAGAGAGTTCAACTCTCATCTAAAATATAGTCTCAAATAAAAGAGCACTGGCAAGATTGTCAAAGAATTAAAAAAAAAAAAAAAATCAATTCTAAATAAAATAAAATTGAAATAGTTTAATTTTATGTTTTTCATATAATAATATAAAAGTTTCATTATTTTTATTATTATTTTTATCAATTTATTGTACAAGGTTGTGATTTATTTTGAATTAATGCAATATAATTTTATTATCATATATTTTGTAATATTTCATAATTAAAAATTGTAAAGATTTTTATGTCGTTTTATAATTCTTGTACAAGTTTTCAGATTATAATAACTTATATAAAATTATGTTTATATAGTTTGCTAATATAGTTGATTACAAAACTAGAAATTTAGAGCTATTATTCAGGTTGGCTTGATCTATACAGATTAAAATTTTAACAGGTCATGAGTTAAAAACTGCCTTGATTTAGATTAAATGAGTTAGTTAAATAAACAGATAAATTGTAACAAACTAGTTTTTTTTAATATAGAAAATAAATAAACTCTAATTATAAGCAAGATCAAAAAGTTTTTTTGCCACAAAATCTAAGATTTTCTGATTTAATATTTATTTTAAATATATAATCAAGCTTAATATATGATTATTAACCCAGATCAAAAATAGTTGATCTGAATCAAATCTGAGTTGCTATTTTTTAATCTGAGTTACAGCTCTATAAAAATTGAAGTTTGTTTAAAAAGTCTCAAATAAGAAGTAACAGAAACTTTTATCAGTACTACAAGGGAGATATTACCCATATCTAGCTAGAAAAAATTATATAACAAATACAATATTTGTATATCTCTACTGTAAAGCTTAGCTTTATCATTTAAATTTTCTAACTAGGTTATCTGGACTTCAAAATAACATAAATAGCTAAAATCGGTATTATATTTTTTTTTAAAATCATTAGGCAGTTATGTCTCGAATTTATTAGACTAGATATTAGATATTATAACTAGTAAGTGATAAACTCTAAATTTGTTAGCAGATAGTATATGAGAACTATCTTTAAATAACAAATGCCACCTTCTAATTACCTAAATTACAATTCTTAGCTAACTTGGTTACTCTATAAGCACCTATGTTCAACCTGCTATAGTAGGATTTACCTCCTTATAGTCCCGACCTGCACTTGACCCAAAACTATACCTCAACAGATGGATCCTACAGCCTGTCATGACTATCTTCTCTTCTTTTAGACTTCTTCCACCTAAGCCCAACAATATAATTAAACCCTTATTCATATATAAAAGTAAAAAAATAAAGCCATGTTTATGAAAGACAAATATTTTAGAAAAAAAACATCTCACGGTGGGAAAAAAAAACTTTTTAACAAATTCTAAAATAGTCTAACATAAATGAACAAAGACGAAAAAAACAAAAAAAAAGAAAGTAATATGATATACTATTATAGCCCATACTAGGCATAAAAGTAAAAATTATATAATAGTTGCAACTAATTATTATATCTCGGTTGTAAAGCTAAGCCTTATCCTTGGGACTCGTTCCAAGCACTGACTTCACTTGGGTATCTTTAAAACGGGAGTGCTGAACTCTTTCCTATACCGTAGTACCATAGTACCACATTGATAAACAAAACAAACATGTAGTTGCATTCTACTAAGTTTGTCTGAATTAGGCAGATGTAAACAATGCCAATCTTTTGGAGGGGGTAAGCTAAATCACTCACTTTTTGTCAAAAATTTTGGTAAGGTCGGCAGTGACGATAAAAAGAAAAACATACTATTACCAAAAGAAAAGAAGCATTGGTTTCTTTATTTTGCCAAAAGTTCACACCCAACTATTCCAACCATGTATAGTATTTAATTTTGTTAGTAAGTGATAAACTCTGAGCTTGTCAGCAGGTAGCGTATGAGAACTACCTCTAAACAACAAGTGCCGTGCCTACCAAGGTACAGTAAGTGATAAGCTCTAAAGCTGTTGGCAGGTAGCATATGAGAACTACCTCTAAATGACAACTGCTATACTGGGGCCTTCTTTTCCATGTCTTATAGTGTTGTTATAGTTGGTTATGCTTCCTCTTGGTCAAAAGATTTTTTAGAATTTTTGGTCCAGATGATCGTTGGAAAGAGTTTGTGCTAAAATCAGTATTATATAAAGCAGTACAGCCTATAAACATAACAAACTAAATATATAATTGCAGTTTGCTAGTGCTGCTTAGATTTGGGAGGTGTAAACAATGCTAATCTTTTAGAGAAAGTAAGCTGTTTTGCCCACTTTTGTAAAAAATTTTGAAGAAGCAGTGAGGTGGAGAATAGAGGCAACACTACTTGTTTTGTTTGATAAAAGAGTATGTATTTTTTAATAAATATAATAGCAATCCATAATACTCTTATTTAAAAGCAAAAAGGCACAAGAACTGTTCTTTTTGGTAAGTAATAAACTCTAGGCTTGTCGGCAAATAGCATATAAGAACTATTTTTAAACAACAAGTACTATCTTTAAGAAAGTTAACAGGTAGCATGTGAGAACTACCTCTAAATAACAACTGCTAGCTTATAGATTTGTTCTCTAACTATTTTTAACCTTTACAGATGCTTGTATTTTCTAATAAAAATTTTGAATTTTTGGTAAAAATAATTGTCGAAAAGAATAAAATAAATAATTATATATATATATAAATATAGTTTTTTTCTTTCAAAAACTTTAATATAAATATATTTATATTTTTGAAAAAAAAAATTTATTTTATATAAATTTAATTTAATTTTTACTTAGTATAAGATTTACAAAAACAAGCTTAAATAAAAAAAAAAGTTAATTTTATATTTAAATTCAAAATTCGAAATTAAGTTAAAAAGAATCTTAAGCTTAAAGTTTATAGTAAATTTCTTGACATATTTTTATTATTATTATAATTATAAACTTACACTCATATATATATAAATATAATATTTTTCCTGTACTTAGCTATGAATTTGTAATTTTAACAAATCGACTTAGTCAATAATTGTTATTATATACCCCACAAATTAAAAATACGCGTGACTTTTCTTGTTTTAGTAGTTTAGTATTGTTTTTTAATACGTATAAATCATGTTAACAAATCAAAATGAAGAATTGCAAAATTGATCAGATGAGACAATTCACGAGAACCCCTTTTTTTTTATACGTGACCAAAAATTTTTTGGTTCCTATAAAATATAAACATTAAGAACAGCCGAAAGAGTAAAGTCAGTTTCATCCTCACCGTCTTAAATCAATTATAACTATGGGTTCATTCGAATACGAGACACAGCGAACGAATCCGGCAGTAAAGAGTAACCATACCGCCACAGACACAGCAGAAACAGAAGAAGAAAAACATCTTAAATCTCAATATAAGGATGAATTGACCAAACTACAGGAACTATTTACTGATTGGACGGAGGCAGATTTACTCTTTGCTCTACAAGAAGCTCAAGGCGACCTTGAGCTTACGATTACTCGAATTAGTGAAGGTAAGTTTAAATTAAGAAGTTTTGTTGTAATATTTCAGATGTAAAGCCATTTGCAATGAGCTTAGTGGATAAATTATTGAAACTTGCAAGATTAATTGACTATTGCGAAAAATTGTTTTGAAGCATTCATTTAAGTTGATTACTGACGCAAGGTCATTTGACTTATTTGAATAACAAAAACTGAATTGTCCGTGTAATACGCGGTTTTTCAACAGCCTATTATTTGAGCTTCACCCTTTTTTTTTTCCGCATAAATTGGTTACCAAATTGCTTAAGGATAATGGAAACATGGCCACATTTTTGCTGAAAAAGTTTCTTGATTATCCTTTGCAACGAAAATGGACACTTTCTTTTTTTTTTTTCCGAAAAAAAAAATAATCGCGAACTTATAAATTATGGACTACATTTCTTCTAGGTCATGCTAGTCAATGGGGTGAAGTTAGATCTCGCAAATCTAAAAAGGAACAGAATAATAAAGCCAAAACAAGCGGGCAACAATCTGGCAACGCTCAACGTGGACATCAAAGAGGCGGTTATAGTGACCGTGGCCGGCCTCGTGGTGGTAAGGCATCCCTGAACTTTCTTTTTTATGAAATTAATTATTAAATGCGTATACATTTGTTCTAGAAGGTGGGTCTCGTAGTGTAAGAAGTAATGATCGCTCCCGAGGGCCAAAAAGAGATAACAGTTCGGGTATGATATCATAAAGATGGTCCATTAACTTAAGTAATTCATTTCAAGCGTTATTGGCTTTCTTTTTAGGTTATACTCGACCACCACGTCAACAAAATGGACCAAACACCTCCAATCATGATGACACGAATAATGGTGCTCACGCAAAATCAGTTGCTGATAACTGGGGTAATAACGACAGTCCTGGTGGTGATTGGAATGACGCCAACGAAAGCTGGTCTTCTGATTCCAAAGGTCTTAATGCTCGGGGCAATGACAATATCGCTACCAATGACTGGAGTGCTGACAATCAACATCAAAGTTCATGGGGTGATAATTCGGCGGAAAATTCTAAAAGTGGCTGGGATAATGACTCTGTAACTGATAAAGGTCAGAGTAGTTGGACCAATGAGATTTCTACAGAAAATAATCATGGTGGACGAAATGGTGATAGTATTAATAATTCTGGAGGGTTGACAACCGATAATAAAAATGGAGCCGACAATGTTAATGATAATTTCCTAAGTCGAGAGGCCGACAAATCCACGTTTATTAAAGAAAATAATAATTGGGACACTGAAACTTCCAATAATAATTGGAATGTTGAAAATAACTGGCCTTCAGACTCCTCCAAAGATAATCGAGGGGCTGATTCTCTTAAAAATGGTAAAACAGTTAGGGATGTACAGAGATCTCCTAATTCTGGTGTACCTAGATCTATTGTGACTGCAAGATCACCAGTTCCTAATATATCACGGACGATTCCTTCGCAGCCAAAAGCATCTTGGGCTCAGATTGTGAAGTGTGTTTTCAATGATATCATGAAATAGTGTTATAAGTTCGAGAAGATTTTTTTTTTTTAAAAAAAAGGAGATTAATCAATATTTTCACATTTACATATTGTGTATAGACCTGAATCGAAACCGGATCCAAAACCTGAACCAGTTTCACCTCCTATACATAAAAGCTCACCTGAGAACATAAAAGTAGTATCCCCGAAAATAACGAAATCACCAATTCCTGTACAGTCTTCACCGCCACCCAAAATACCTGAACCTATCAGCCTACCATCTCCACCGGAAGAAGCAACATCAGCGCCAGTGGTTGCGGCTGTCAAGATAGAAGAGATTAAGGTGTTATCCAAAGAAATTTCTTCACCGGAACAACCAGCCGTTACTCCTGCTGTATCTTCACCAGTTGTAAATGTCTCACCTCACACTAAAGAAATATCACCACCCGGTATCATTAATAAAACGAAACAAGCTCCCCTTCGTAGGTTGAAGCAAGATGCTGCGGTTGTAATGCCAAGTGCAGGAGCTGGTTTGGAGAGGGTTGGTGTGCAATTTGGAAGTTTAAATTTATCAAATTCTAGTGAAGAGATCACAGAGACAGAAGCCCCCATTCAAAGAACCGAAGAACGATCACCTGTTGCAGTGGAAACATCGACCCCTCAACCACTTCAGACAACAACAACTATTCAACAGCAACAGCAGCAACAGTTACTTCAACAACAGCTGCAACAACAATCACAGGTTCAACCACAATCTGTTTCTTCACTCTCTCAAACGGGTTCCATAAATCGATCAATTCCAACTACATCAGTTCAAAATGCTTTGCCATCATCCGTCAGCAACGTACCATCTGCTACACCTGTGAATGCTGCTACTCCGACACCAACCCCCCAAAATTTCAATCCATCATACTTTAAACAGGAACAAACATCTACTTATTTAAATCAACAGCATCATTTAGGGTTGGCTACGGAACCATTAAATGCTGCACCTTATGGTTCTTACTTGCCGAATCAACAACTGTCAGGATTTAGTATGGGTCCAATTCAATCATTGCCAGAATATGGTGCTCTATATGGTCCTGATGCTGCCCAGCGCATGATGGTAAGTGATTATTAAATTGACAGCAATTTTACCATATTGCATTGATTAATTTATTTATACTTTTATTTTTAGGGGTATTATGCTGCTGCTGATCCCGCATATAATCAAGCATCCCCTGTTACTTCTGCTGGGTATCAAGGACGAGGAGATAACAACAAATACACACCTGATACAACAACATCTTCATCTAACCAAACAACAAGTCAACAATCCGCTGGAACGCAGCAACAATCAACAAATCAACAGCAGGGTCAAAACCCTCAACAGCAAGCATATCCGCTTAGTGTACAATATTACCCTTATTATTATATGGCAAACCAATTTCCTTCTGCATACCAGCAATCTGGGTATGGTCAACCCTTTGTAAATAAATCCATGTATCCCATGTACAATCACCCACATTCGACCAAGCCTGGATCTGCATCAGGTGCATCACCTTACGGATATCCTACAACACCTACTACGCCTAATAATCCACATCATTATTCACACACTTCAAATACTGGATATGACGAAATTACGCAAATACACCATTTACCCGGTGTTCATGGCGTTCATGATTATCCAAAAGCCTATGGTGGTATTCCACCTCTTAATTTTTTGGGTAACGCGGCAGGTAGCAATCCGCAGCCCACCTCTGGATCCGCAGGATCGAACTCTACTGGTGGGAAAACCAGCAACAATGGTAATTCGGAATTGAATAGTCCAGCGCAATATAAAGGATATACCGACAAAGCTTCAGCTGGTTCGCAACAAGCTGGAGTTGGGCAATCTGGAGCTCAACAGCAGCAGCAGCAGCCTAATCCTAATTACTATGGGCAGCAAGCTCAACAAATGTTTAATAATTACCAATATCAGCAGACACATCATCAGTATCACCCACATCAAGCACATCATCAAGCAGCTGGACGCAACCAGCAACAATATTGGAGTAATCAGAGCTAAATTAATTCTAAAATTTGAAAAGGATGGATTTGAGTAGTGATCCTAGCCAATAATGAAAAAAATCGGCTAAAGCTAATTTTTGGCTTAGCCGGTCGATTTCCTTCAAAATCGGTTGATCGATTTTATACGATAGTAATTCACGCATAAGCTTTTGAACATTACAAAAAGTTTTTTTTTTTTTTTTTTTTTGTATATATATTGAGTCATACTTTCTTATGTAACATCAAATATACTTTATATCATTAGAGACATAGTGCG